ACGTCTCGCTCAGCTCCACCACCAGCCCCGCCCATCAGAGACCAGCCCTCTTCATCCCGGCAACCAGCAGTTCAGCGTTTACCCAGAGATCGCCTGCAGACAGCGCTCTGGGCAAACAAATCACAGAGTTCAAGGGGGACAAGATTTAAAAAATGACGGTCTGCGGAGGGTGTGTGTAAAAGTGACACGAAAGTTGAAATAAATCATCATTCAATGATCAAAGTGTCTGTTTTTAGCCAGTCTGTAAGCTCGGATGAACTCATAGCGGCTGCGCACACATCCTCCACACATAACTAGCCGGTGTCCTTAAATAAAGTTTTTTTTAAACTCACCGTCGCTCCAAGACATGACGAGACGCTCACACGACACGATGGTAAGCGAAATAACTCGTTGTCAACCCGAGCTGCACGATCCTCACCCAAGCGGTGTCAAACGCGCACTCGTGCGATGCAAACAGCCTTCATCCAAACGGCGCTGCGTTGATGATGGTGCACACACAGCTCACATCGGTATAAATGTGGGACCGCAGGCCAGGTCCTGTGAAGGTCCTCGTTTTCAGCAAAACAACGCACGCCAAAGCAAACGTGTGCGGCCGCGACGCGGGCAGCCGTCACCCACCGCGTCTCAGCGCTCGGCAGCTCACGGCAACACAAGCATGAGACGGCTGAACGAACCCGGTGACGAGTCTCGCCTCCAGCGAGAGCGGCGTGCGTCCCTCCAGAGAAAACGTGTGCTCCCGCGGGGCTCGCAGCCTTCACTCCAACAGCATGGCATAGATGAAGTCACACTCTTTGCCTCTCAACGTTCGCACAGCGACGTCGAACGCGCAGCCCCACGGCGTCATCAGCTGTCACACGCTTCGCTTCAGCACACACCGGCCCACCCGTACATGAAGGTTGGTCCGCGGTCCGAACGCAGCGCATGGGCGCGTTCAGAGCCTTTTCGAGGAAGCCTCGTCTTGGGTCACTCGGAAAACATTCCCGCGACACATGACGGCGGTTGAGGCGGCGGACTGGTGACATCCGTACAAAACATGACGCATCACTTAAACGCACGTTCACTTAAACGCACGTTCACTCCACGAACGTTACGCAGAGTGGCTAAAAACATGCTTGCCGGTCAGATGGATGGACAGGGTGTTATGCAAAGGTTACAAGTTACAGTTTGCAACCCGACCCCCTCCATTCGGAGGAGTTTTAGAGACGGCCCTGTCATCACCAGACCAAATCTCATCCCTAAATGCAGAAGTCCAAGAGCTTCTGATAAAAGTAATCTCCAGGGTTCCCAACAGAGAGGAAAACACAGGGTTTTACTCACGTTACTTCCTGGTTCCCAAACGGACCGGAGGGATGAGACCGATTTTGGATGTGTCAGCTTTCAACAAGGCGATCATGGACAGACCGTTTCACATGTTGACAACCGGCAGCTGTTGGACAACATCCAGAGAAACGACTGGTTTGTTTTCCGTCTACCTAAAAGATGCTTATTTTCACATACCGATCATCCCAAAACACAGAAAATTCCTGCGTTTCTCCTTTCAGGGGATGAAGCATCAGTACAACAGGCTGCCGGTCGGGTATTCCCTCATGCCTCGTACGTTCTCAAAGTGTGTGGAGACAGCCCTGCATCCGTTACACAGAGCAGGGATGAAAGTTTTGTTTTACCTGGACGACCTGCTGCTGCTGTCACACTCCAGACAGGAAGCAGTGATGCAGGCTCAGGTGTTGACATCACACCTGTTAAATCTGGGCTTCGCCATAAATTGGAAGAAATGCTCGATTTCCCGGCCCAGACAATTGTTTATCTGGGAGTGGAGTTAAATTCAACCACCATGAAGGCTCGTTTATCACAAACGAGAATCAACACTCTAAAAGACCAGCTCCGCCACGTAAGACCTGGCAGAGTGGCAACAGCTGTCTCCATCATGAAGCTGTTAGGAATTATGTCATCAGCTCACACAGTGGTCCCGCTGGGTTTATTACACATGAGACGCCTCCAGAGGTGGTTTGTGCGTGTGGATCCAGTAAAACAAAAGAGACGGATGATCACTGTCCCTCCCTCCATGAGGGCAAACCTCCGACACTGGGGAAACACCCTGGTTCTGTCGGAGGGAGTCCCCGTCAGCAGACCCACGTCACACGTGCCAGTCTTCACGGACGCGTCGCTGTCAGGCTGGGGGGGGACATACCTATCTCAAGCAGTAGGGGCGCTGTGGCCCCATCTCACATCAGCCCACTTAACTGTTTTGGAGTGTTTCACGGTGCTGAACGTGATTCAACACTTTGCTCCCGTGCTACAGAATCAACACGTGTTGATTCACACAGACAACATGGTGACTGCTGCGTACATAAACCAGCAGGGGGTATGCGCTCAGCCCAGATGTTACACATTGCGCAAAAGCTTCTGTGTTGGGCTCACCAAAATCTGCTCTCCATCAGAGCAGTTTACATACCCGGTGTTCTGAACAAAGGGGCAGATGTGATGTCCAGGGGCGGCCCACGTCACGGGGACTGGACTCTCCATCCAGACCTGATGACTCAGACGTGGCAGAAATTTGGCAAAGCAGCTGTGGACCTGTGTGCGACACGAGAGAACGCTCAGTGTCAACTATAGTTTTCCCTGAGCCCTCAAGACGAACCACTGCTGGGGGTGGATGCGTTTGGCCACAGCCCATGGTCCAAAACGCTTCTGTACGCGTTTCCTCCACCTCCTCTGATTTTACGGTTCCTGAACCGAGTTCAGGAGGAGGGATTGACAGCTCTCCTGGTGGCCCCCGAGCGCGTGAACACACCATGGTTCTCAGCCCTACAACGCCTGCTGTCGGGGCGCCCGTGGAAACTGCCATGGAGGGAAGATGCTCTCCTCCAGGCAGGAGGAGCGATCAGGAGTTACCCAGAAATAGGCCAGCACCTGTGGGTCTGGCCGCTGAGCGGTTCCGCTTAGAGAGGATGGGCCTCCCACAGGAGGTAGTGCGCACAATCCAGGATTCACGTGCTGCATCTACCACAGCGCTGTACATATCAAAGTGGACAGTTTTTCAGCGCTGGTGTACAGAGAAAGGTGTAGAGGCCACCTCATGTCCATTAGGCGGCGTGCTGTCTTTTCTACAACAGCTGATGGACAGGAAGTTGGCATTTCAGCACGATTAAAACGTACGCTGCAGCCATCTCTTCCTGCCACGAAGGGTTCGGAGACAGAACAGCTTTTAATCACCCGCTGATGAAGCGGTTTCTAAAAGGTGTACAGAGACGCAGGCCTGTTTCACGCCCACTTGTTCCACAGTGGGATTTAACGCTGGTCCTGCGAGCCCTGATCAAAACTCCATTTGAGCCTCTGGATCAGGTTCCAATTAAATTCTTGTCTCTTAAAACAGCCCTGCTGCTGGCTTTAACATCTGCTAAGAGGGTGAGTGATTCATCTGCCCTCTCTGTCGCTCCGTCATGTCTCAGAATTCAGGCTGACGGGCAGCTCAGCTGATTTAAGACCAAACCCAGCCTTTATGCCTAAAAACATCACGAGCTCTTTTAAATCAAGAGCGATATCGTTGGAGGGGTTTTTCCCTCCCCCCCCACAGATCAGAAGAAGAAGCATCTTTCCATCTTCTCTGTCCAGTGCGGGCGTTGACGTGTTACATAGCGCGCACGGCTGTAATGCGCCAAACTCAACATCTGTTTGTGCATTATAGAGATGCACCTGCAGGTCGCCCGTTATCCACCCAGCGCTTGTCACACTGGCTGTGTGAGGCCATTTCTGAAGCCTAAAGAGCTTCAGTTTTAGAGCCTCCTGTCAACTTCAGGGCGCACTCGACCAGGGGTATCGCATCTTCGACTGCCTTGCATAATGGTATGACAATGCAGGACATTTGCACTGCGACTGCGTGGTCAACACCCTGCTCATTCATTCGCTCTTATCTACGTGATGTGACGGCCCGTTCCATGACACATTCTGTCCTTAGTGCTCTAACAGAATGAATATTGTTGTTTTCATGGAACTCTGTTTAAGCTCACATCTGTCTGCATGCTTCAGTGTGAGATGTGTTATCAGTCACAAGTTGTGTCTGTTATTTTGGTTCTATTGTCACTAATCAGTTCTTGACTATTGTTATCAATCAGTTAATTTGATTAATAATCAGTTCATTTGTTATTATTAATCTGTCTATACTGTTCAGCCATGAACGCATAGTTACACAACATGTGTCTGTGCATGGCTCACATAATTACGCAATGCGTAATTACGCACATGGGGAGCTGAGTGACAAGACGTTTTTTGGGCAAGCTTCTGCTTCATACGGTGTTCGAATGGACCCAGTGAGGCGAGGACAACATCTGCTTCGCCCTTAACCCACCAAGCGACAGCTTTAAAGGGCAAAGCTTATACGAAATAGAACGTTGGTTATGTACTGTAACCCCAGATTCTACGAGTATAAGCGTAGCCCTTTAAGCGTCGGGCCTCACTGGCTCCTAAAAGGCTGAAGAAAACGCTATTTTTGGGAGCCGATTTCCCGCTCTTAACGTAATTTATACGGACCGGGTAGGGCCCACACAGCAGGTGGGCTTGGACTAAACTTTTCAGTGCAATGCTCCGCATAACGGGATAAACCCACCAAGTGACAGCCTTAAAGGGCTACGCTTATACTCATAGAATCTGGGGTTACAGTACGTAACCAACGTTTTGTTTAAGTTTTAGGATATAAAGCAAAGAAGAAGAAGAATCTGACGACATTTACATCAACAAAGAAGAAGATCGCGAACACTTCGATATGCAGCTAAAGCCCGTGTGAATACTGTATTCAGTTTGGACACGTGATGCCAGGGACTTATTCTCACAAAGTCACCCTGCCGAAATCCACCGAACCGGCTCACTGACGTGCCTTAAATCAGCGGACAGATCGCTGAAATCTTCAGGTTTATTTATTACCCGCGGTAATTGGCCGTTAAGATTTTAGGAGGTGAAAGTCAGGCTGTAAGAGCCTTTTCAAGCGTTTGGTGTCCATTTACGTGCCATGTCTCAGGGTTGTCTTGGAAAAAGACCTGTACTTCACTGCAAGAAGGAAAAGAGAATGATGGCAGAAATGAAGGCATCACCTCTTAAACATTTTGTCACAGCGAAGAAGCTCAATGGGATATTTGAACAGCTGGGGGCCTACATCAAGGAGAGTGCTGCCTTTCTGGAAGATACTTACCAGAATGAAGAGTTGAACCCAGTCACCACTGAGGAGCAGGTCCAGGAGGTCCAGGGTTACCTCATCAAAGTAGCAGGGATTGGAGAAGTGCTCGCTCGTCGACAAATGAAGGTGGTCTTCTTTGGAAGGACCAGTAATGGAAAGAGTTCGGTGATCAATGATATGTTATGTGACAAAGTACTGCCGTCTGGGATCGGTCACACCACCAACTGCTTCCTGAAGGTGGAGGGCACGGATGGCAGCGAAGCCTTCCTCTTGACTGAAGGCTCAGAGGATAAGAAGAGCAAACAGACGGTGAACCAGCTGGCCCAAGCGCTCCACCAGGATGAGGACCTGGATGCTGGTAGCATGGTTTGTGTCATGTGGCCTAAAGCGAAGTGTGCTCTGCTCAGAGATGATTTGGTGTTGGTTGACAGCCCAGGCATTTATGTCACCACTAAACTGGACAGCTGGATTGACAACTTTTGCCTTGATGCTGATTTCTTTGTTCTGGTGGCAAACTCTGAATCCACCCTCATGCAGACGGAGAAGTCCTTTTTCCACAAAGTCAATGAGCGTCTCTCCAGTCCCAACATATTCATCCTCAACAACCGTTGGGACGCGTCAGCCTCAGAACCTGAGTACATGGAAGAGGTTCGGAGGCAGCATATGGATCGCTGCACCAACTTTTTGGTCGATGAGTTGGGCGCGGTCGACCGAGCCCAAGCCAGCGATCGCATTTTCTTTGTCTCTGCCAAAGAAGTTCTTCAGGCTCGGCTGCAAAAATCCCAAGGAATGCCAGAATCAGGTGGAGCTCTCGCAGAAGGATTTCAAGCCAGGATGTTTGAGTTCCAGAACTTTGAGAGGAGATTTTGAAGTAAGATCTTTTTATGTGGTGTTATAAATATTTAGCTTCTCTGTCACATCTGTAGTGTCTGATATTCTTGTATAATAGACTAGCTCCTACGGTATGTTTTGATTTATAGCTCGGTTCAGCAGAGTACAGTTACAATTGTTATTCTGATGCATGCTCAATAATCCAGGTAGAAAAATCTAAAAAAGTTAAATCTGGTCCTCTGGACATTCAAAAAAACAAAACAACAACAAAAATGTAGAAACGTTTCGTCTCTCATCCGAGAGACTTCCTCAGTCTGAGGTGCTGTATTCAGCTCAGTCTCTTAAATAGCACCTTCTCAGAGTGGATCAACCAGTTTTGCTGCTGACAGCCAAAACCAGCTGATCACATGCTCAAGAAGGACCATCAGCCTAACAATGGATCATTAGCACCCTGATGGCTGTTTACTACTCACAGAGGGCTGAGTGATACTAGCAATCACAGCATTGTAAGAGGGGGACAGTTGAACACGGAGGCTCCACCCCTGTTTAACGATGGACGATTTCTTTTCACAAAGATGGCCTCCTTTACTCCTCTCTCAAACCATCGTTCCTCTCTATCCAGGATGTGCACATCTTCATCCCTGAAAGAGTGACCGCTGGCCTGGAGATGAGTGTAGACCGCAGAGTCCTGGCCTGATGATGTTGATCTTCTGTGCTGGGCCATCCTTTTGGCCAGTGGCTGTTTAGTTTCTCCGATGTAAGACTGATCACAGCCCTCCTGACACTGAACAGCATACACAACATTGCTCTGTTTGTGCCGGGGGACTGGATCTTTGGGACGAACCAGTCTTTGCCGTAATGTATTTTGGGGTTTAAAAGCCACTGGGACGTTGTGTTTAGAAAATAAATGTCTCAGTTTCTCTGATACTCCCTCAACATATGGAATGACCACTGGTCTGGGTCTGGGTTCCTCCTTTTCACCTGTTGGCTGACTGGAGTCCTGTTTGGGTTTCTTCTCTGCTTTCAGGAAGACCCAGTTAGGATATCCACATTGCTCTAGAGCCTGTCTTGTGTGGGACTTCTCCTTCTGCCTGGCTCCTGAGTTAGTGGGGACGCTGTCTGCTCTGTGGTACAGAGTCCTGATGACTCCTAACTTGTGCTTGAAAGGGTGATGGGAGTCAAACTGCAAATACTGGTCTGTGTGGGTGGGTTTGCTGTACACCTCGGTTTGCAAATGTCCTCTATCAGAGACTGAGACCTCACAGTCCAAGAAAGCCAACTTGCCATTTTTTACATCTTCTCGTGTGAACTTGATGTATTTATCCACAGAGTTGATGTGGTCAGTAAAATGTTGGACTTCCTGAGATTTAATTTTAACCCAGGTGTCGTCAACATACCTGAACCAATGGCTTGGTGGTGTCCCTGAAAAGGACGTCAAGGCTCTCTTTTCTACCTCCTCCATGTACAGGTTGGCAACAATAGGAGAAATTGGAGACCCCATAGCACACCCATGTTTCTGCCTATAATATTGCTCCCCATATGTGAAGTAGGTTGACTGCAGGCACAGTTTCAAGAGTTGACACAGTTGTTCTGTGGAAAGCGTGGTCCTGCTGCTCAGAGTGGTGTCTGATTTTAATTTTAAACTGACCACCTCTACTGCATCATCAACAGGAATGCACGTAAAGAATGATGTGACATCAAAAGAGACCATTGTTTCATCAGTCTCCATGATGACATCCCTCACCTTATCCACAAAGTCCATGGTGTTCTGTATGTGGTGTTCTGAGCTGCCAACTAAAGGGATGAGTACAGATGCCAGATATTTGGAAACATTGTAAGTGACAGAGTTAATCATGCTAACAATAGGTCTTAAAGGTACACCTTGTTTGTGGATTTTAGGTAAACCATACAGACTAGGTGTGGCCTCCCCTGGGTACAGTCTGTGGTACAGAAAACGGTCAATAGCCTTGTCCTGCTCCAAAATTTTCAGGCAATCTTTCAATTCCTTCTTGTAACCACTTCCTGGATCTCTTTTCAGAGGTTCATAAGTGTTTAAGTCTGTGACGGAGCAGTTCCATCCCTCACGCTGAACACACACACACATGCGCGCGCACACACTTATCTTACTACGTGCCCTCCCTCTGTATGACATCTAGAGCCGAATCGCCCTACACACAAACCTCTCCCTCTTTGTAGTCCGTGGCACGACCAAGGGTGCACACTTGGAAACACTCGTAAACATCGTAACTCATACATTCACCTAAGCAGGCATATTTAAGGTTGTACTCACCTGGGAAGCGTTGTCCGGTCCGCCGTTGGTGGCTGGAGTAAAAGTAAGCGTAATGCTTCCGCATTACCTATAAAGGAAGTGATTATTCTTCCACCAGCAGATTTAATTATAAATAATTTAACTAAACAAAACAAGGGCTTTAAAATTAAAGCAGGAAATGAATGTTGGTTGATTTTTGTGACAGCATTGTTTTGTTTTGTTGTTTGATGTGGTAAAATAAGTGATTGTTTGTTGATCTAATTGTGGGCGGGGTTAAGGGTTTATAAGAAGAGCCTCTGGCCCTGCCGAGTCAGTCTGGCCTGGTTACAGAAGGGGTAACACTGATATGGAATATTAGAAAAAATGCTCTGAAGAAAGAGAGTTGTAAGTATATCCTTTTTTTTGTTCCCCCTCCTACTCTGCATTTTTGTTTTTGGGGAGGTGTGTAAATAAAAATCACAACCATCACACTCTGACATGCCATCCATGATTTTTTCTTCATTTTTTTTGGAGTCATGATGAAGTTGCTTATGGTGCCTAGGCCTACCGCATGAAGAACCCGCGACAAAGTCACTAAGGAGTGTCATAACTTTCTCATGATAGTCTTTCTGGTTCAAAATCACTGTGCACCTTCCTTTGTCTGCTGGGAGAATGATGATGTTTTTGTCCTTGCTAAGAGTGGTGAGTGCATCCCTCTCCTCTCTACTGATGTTGGAAGGTGGTGGTTTGGCATTGCTGAGGCAGGATGAAACTTTGTTTAGTGGATCAGTGGACCTTATTTAACTTTTTTAGATACAATTGTTATTGTTGTCGCTGTTGTCCGTTCTTGTTATCATTCTTTGTTAAATCAGGTCTCTTTTGTAAATGAGTCCTAGAAGCTCAATGGGATTTACCTGTAGAAATAAAGGTTGAATGGAAAATAAAACTAGTGAGAATATAGGAAATATAAAATAAGCTTGACCTCCTCTGTACAATGTTTTT